GACTTATGAATAATAATGTTGTATCTCCTAGATCTATGGATTAATTTTTAAGAGGTTTGATTTTGCGATCTAAAAAGGAGTAGTGGCGCTGCTTGTTGCCCGCTTGTCTTCTATTTTTGTATTGACCTAATTTTTTTAAAATTTATATAAAATTCATCCTAATAAGAATAAAAAAGAACTTATGTAAAAGTTATTGTTAGGTTGATATATGTTCGACTATAACTACTTTAATATTAAAAATATTTATCTTAAATATTCATTTTTTTATATTTCAAAGAAAATATAATTTTAATTTTAATATTTAGATTCACATGTCTATTTTAAATGAGTAATGTTATAATGAAGAATGAGTAATGCTATACAGTGAAGAAAGTCCTCACGAATATCATGACTCACAATTTTATATATTAAAATGTTTCACCATTCACTTAGTTTTTATTGAGAACAAATAGTTAAATATAGTAATTATCTTTCCATATACCAAGATAGCTTATTAGATATTTTGTACTATTATACTTCAAACACCATAAAAAGAATAATATAGTAGATTATGATGATTTATGTATCAAGAGAATTTATTTGATAGTTATGATTATTAGAAATATGATGTAGATTGAACTAACACAATTGATGATTTAAGAACAATATAAAAAATATTCAAGTTGACAACTTAATATAACAGGTGCTACTGTATTTCAATTGTAAAGAATAGTATCAAGAGATTAATAGTTGATGTAGGCTTAAAGCAAGAAAAATCAGTTTTTGTATATTTATTATTTTTCACGAAAATACTCTCGCTATTATGTATTATATGTTTTAAATTTGAAATTTGAGCGAACATAGATAATTGGAATAATAGTTGTTTTAGTAAATTATTTTTGTTAAAAATGAGATTTTTTTTCGTTTTTGCCAAGGTTCAAATGGATAACCTCCAATTAAGAATGAATAATATATTTGTCTATTTAAAAAGTGAAAATATATTTTGGAGGTGCCACATAAAATTACAGGGATGATATGGCACAAATGAAATATAAACATTAACATGTGTCGTGATATAATCTGTTATTTTAAATTTAATATATTATATAAACATAGATATAAATGATTTGTTATCAATGTTAATAACCGTATTTTCTTTTTGGTTATTTTCATGATATATAATCCAGTGTTATATTTAAACGGTTATCTTTTTGCATAACTATTATTGTGTGTAAGACTGTTCATGTTACGATTTATTAAGCAAACTGAATCGAATTAAATCAAATAATAGTAAACATTTATTCAAATCGAATCGAATTGTTTCAATTTACTCAAAACTAAACCAAATTAAAATTATTGATTTAAATAAACTGTTTTGAAATTTCGAACTATACCAAATCATTAAAGATAATTTTTTTCAAACCAGACGATCTTTTAAATAACCGAACCATTAAATATTTTTCAATTTTTTTAAAATCATTTAAGAACTTGTTTTTAGATTTTTTATTTATTTTCTGTTTCAGTTTGATTTATTTATCATATGATTCGATTCAAAAATTATTTATACAAATATAATTTGATTTATTAACTAAATATAATAACTGGTTTATTTCAATTTCGGTTCAATTCGATTGAATGGTCCTAATTGTTTGTTTGTATGGAGAATTGGAAAGATTTAGGTATATGACAAACAATTGGTTGATTAATTAATGTGATTAGCGATCCCTGATGCGGCTTAAAATTAAATTGGATTGTACTTCACTATCCAAGTATGATTCCACTAACATGGTTATAGGTCTATTGCTAGCTGGACCCTCCAAAAAATTTTGCCTTTCTCAACTTTTACTTTTTTTTCCCACACACACTATTCTTTTTCTCTCCTCTTTATTCAAATTGTTTAAAAAAAGGTTTTACACATAAGTAGTGGCAGCCCATAAAGCCAAATTATTAAGGTTTGCGGGAGATTGATGGGAAGATGACATGTGTAGCTATAGCTTCTTGAAGTTCCCAACGTCTTGTTAAATTTATAAGTAATAAGAAAATATCATTGATGCGACTGCATTTGCTTTTTATTTTAGACATGCTAAGGAACAAAACATGAGAAAGAGTTCTACAATAATCAACAACAATAAAATTAAAGAGCGATCAATTTTTCCATTGTGATTGATATTAGACTATTTACACAACAATTTTTTTTTTTTGGTAAATATTGACATACAAAATAGAAAATAAAGATAGTGCACTAAAATAGTTTTACACTTGTCATTCAATAAGAATTTAGCAATCCGTCGTGTCACATAATTAATTTAAAAATATCATGATGACTTGACAGAATACAAAGCAGTGATTGATTGACAGTATAAAATTATTTTATATTGTCGGTATATTTTTATTTCTCTAAAAAATATAGGTAAAAAGATTCACTATTATAAATACTTTGATTTTCTGCAAATTAGCTTTTGGATGTAACACGTAGAAAAAAGCTTTCATTTGTAAATTTGTAGATAAAACCGCAGAAAAGATCTGCAGGTAAAACTGCAGTTAATTTCCTAGATAATTCCTCAGATAAATTATGCAGGTATTCCTCGGTTAGCTTGCAGGAAAATCTGTATGTAATGTCATAGGAAAACAAAAGTTCCCCAGGAAAATCTGTATGTAATGTCAAGGCAATTGAGGGCACAAGGCTTGAAACAGTGATGACTAAAAGATAATGATTTAAATCATGTTCAGAGAAAATGGTTACTATGATTAAACACTAAACCACTAACATTAATCACTGACTTGATGGGAAACTTTATATATACAAACATTAAGCAAATTGACCTTCTCACAAAAACCTTCCAAGTTTAACCACTGTTAATAAATTAACTTTGAAGTAAAAATTGAAAACAAGCTATGCATTTGATAGAATACTTTATGCATTAAAACACAAGCATCGGTTAGAATAAAAACAATTTCCATCGAATATTCCATAAACAGCCAAGAAGCTTGAATCAACTAGAATTGTAGGAGTCTGTGTTTACTTTAAATCCAGAATTTTTCACTGTCTTGCTATTTTTTTATTCAAAAAATCTTAGTATACTATTCTCTTCAATCAATATTTCTATACTATCATATTTTTAAACAAATTTTATTTTTGTCACAAAGTATCCGTCAGGTGAATAGACGGAATTGTTGAAAATATTTAACATCTGCAAAAGTAATGGACGGAAGTGCTATATTTTTAGAGCCTCCACCAATCTAATGGGCGGAAAATTGTTAACTTGAATATGTATAATTTAATATTATGATTAAAAAAAACGACATTATAACAACTCTGTCAGTCTAATGAGCGGAAGCTGTATAATTTAGAGAGCATCCGACAATCCAATAGGCAGAACCTGTTACTTTAATTTATTTTTTTTTTGAAAATATGATATATTAGGAATATATATTGAAATGTATAGTAGTATAAGAATTTAATTTATTAATAAAAAAGTGGTATGCAGGTAAAAAATTCTTAAATCCATCATTAATACCTTAACAAAGAATTAGCCCAATGAAAAACACCATAATAAATTGATTATATCCCAAGCAAAAGAAAGAGACGATGCACACATTATTAACAGAAACACAAACCTGTCTAAGAGAATTGCAAAAGTGAGAACACACATTTTAGGCTCCTCAATTCTAACAAGGTGTTGACAATGTGAAACAGAGCCAGCAAATTCTACTCATCCACTCTTGATTTAAGGGGTTAAGTGATAAAAAAAAGTTTAAGGATTAAAGTTTAGAAATGCATTTATTTCAAAAATGAAAATATATTATACACCAATTTTAAATAGAGAGTTAGTTGTTGAACATGTGACTTTACACACAAGAGAAAAATAAATTATGTGTTTTATAAAAAAATGATTTTGAAAAACTTTTAGATGTAAAATCAGAGTTTAAAAATATTTTAGAAAAATTTTGTAATCAATCAATGACTGGTGATATATTATTTTCTAAGTATTTCACCACAATTGGCTTCTATGACCATGGTGAAAAGTGTTTATATCTTGAAAAACTAATGCAGGCGCTGGGTATCAAACAACTGGTCACAATCTTTTACTATGATTGTTTTAAACAACGTAGTGTTATGTGACAAACTACACCCTTTTAACCACGACTGATCGCCCGTTGTTGTAAAGTTGGCACATACAATCACAAGCTGCCTTACCACAAAACACCATCCGTAGTAGAATTTTTCCGGCAATCGTGGTTGTTTTGGATTGGGCCTACACTCGGTCCAAACCTCATACAAGGCTCAATTCAACTATGCTTCATGGAAAGCTCAGCAATACTAGGCCTGCCCTTGGCCCTCTATCGGGCAGGATCCATCTGTGCTCGACTTTTGGGAAGATCCACTACATGCCTTATGAAGCCATGATCGTGGGACAGACGTCACTTCCACGCTCACACCGAGGACCTATCCTCCACATGCCCTTCGAGGACCTCCTCGCCACGTGCCATTGGAGGACACATACCCTGAGTGCCTGCCACGACGTGTCCTTCTCGTAGGGCACACAACCAACGTCTCTCTAGATATTCCAGAGTCCCCTTGACCCCGAAAAGACCGCGTTCATCACCTCCCTAGTATTTCGGAGCAGTTCACCCATGATGGAGACCACACGCTAGTATCCACTACACACGTAGGTCCTGCCAGTCTCTATTTTGAGAAGGCTCAGTCGGCCCAATATGGGGACCTTGGCCCAGCGCTGAGGGCTATAAATACTCTCTTACACCACAGGGTCAGGTATTCATTCATTCACTCTCTCACTCTCTACTTGTATTTTGCTCTGAATCTTACTTTGACATCAGAGTGTCTTGAAGGTATCCCCCGCCCCCCCGCATTCACTTCAACAACCATACGAGTCAATTGATGTGGGAAATTGAAGATCATTCTGGTGTGGTACTATCAGTGGCGATGTCTGTGGGAAACCTTGCTTAACGTATTTCTCAAACGTTAAGACCAAAGAAAGCTTTTCAACTTTTTGATCATCATGGCCAGTCAGCACGACAACAATGGTAACTTCAACGAAACCTCCTTCGCCGACGACGGACTCCACAACAATAATAAAACAATAGATCATGACCAGGGTGACCCCAGAGACGGACGAACCACCTTTTCCTCGTATAGGGAACATATCCTCGTCACACACTAGTAGTTCGACCAACCCGGGGAATATCAGGAGATTCATGTGCCTCCCAATGCTGATCCCACCATCGTGGCCCTCTTTGCGGCCATCAACCCAACGAACCTCCTGATTTCCCAGGAGAATAAACAGACACTACAAGAAAATTAGTGTTTAACGACACAAAAATTGCGACAGTTATGTGATAACTGTCGTAATTGACATATAGAGACAGTGTTTACGACGGTTGACACCAACCGTCCCTAATATTTATTTTGCGACGGTATATTTAACCATCATAATATTATTATTACGACGGTAAAACAACCGTCGGCCCCCATTTAACACTTTTAACATTGATTTTTCACCAACAACTAGTCACGACGGTAAAATTAACCGTCCTAAAAGGCATATCACGACGGTAAAGCACCCGTCGCACCCTTAAACCTTTCACGACGGTAAAATTATCCGTCCTAAAATTCATTTCACGACGGTAAAACAACCGTCGCACCCAAAACCTTTAAAAATTCTCATGGGCACGACGGTAAAACACCCGTCGCAGTAAAAAAGTTAAAAATACCAAAAAAATACCAAAAAAAGTGAAGGGCCTTAGGAAAAGGTAGAACATCTCGGTCCACTAGAAGCAAGATCCATCTCCAACCTTTCCATTCCCAATCAACATTATCTCCTCATTTATACTTATGATAAGAGAATAACAGAAAAAATAAATAAAGAAATATGTAAAAATATCAGAACGGTGCTATATTGGGGTGGACATTAGGGTTCAAGTTTGTGTCGAATGAACTTATCAGAGTATTTCTTCCTCTTCTCTCATCAATGGAGGCCGTGCACTATTCTTTCTACTTCTCTCCCAACGTGCTGCCGCTCTTCTTCTCTAAAACCAAATCGGCGGAGAACACAACGACCTTATCTCCTCTATATCAAATTCTCAATATTCGCCTGTCTTCACCTTAAATCGATTCAACCTTCTTCTATTTAGATTCAGTACTGTTTACCTCCGTCTCACTCTTCTTAACTCATCGTGGCTTCGATTCCAATTCAGTTCCATCGTCTCAACCATAGTTTCATCGTTTTTGATTCGAAGCTCTGAAAAATTCCGCTCAATTTCTGTTTCATGCCTCAACTGTGATTCAAAGCAAAACGAAAATGTCACATATGCAAAAAAAATGATGAGAGAAGAAAGAATACTTACACGTCGGAGTCACTCCGCCAACGCTTCAATCGTGATTCAGGTATGCATTCTTAATTCCTCATTCTTCTATTATTTCCGATTCACACGTATTTTCTATTGATTCGGTACAATTCAATTATTGAAGTTTGTTGTTGTGATTGGTGTTGAAAATAGAGGGAATGCTTCAAGCTTGAAGTCGCGATGATGCCATTGATGATGAAGGTTGACGAAGCTGTGTAGAATATTGTAGAGAGGTTGTGTATAGTTGGCTATTAGGATGGGATGGCTTTAGATTTGAATGAAACTGAGAGTTAGTTGCTGATTGTAATTTGAGTTAGCTAATTGTTAGTGTGAAAAAGAGTTAAAATCGTCAATATTATTAGGGCCTGACTGTTAGGAATATCAATTGAAATGGATAACTGTTAGCTTAAAGTTGTTAGAAATTGTTATGTGAGGGATTAGGTTTGTGAAGTGGATATTTAAATTGACTTGAATCTATGTGATTGACTGAATCAGTTTTGCTATGCATTGGCCTTTTTTAATTTTCTGAATGAGTGGACTATTTTTTATGGTATTCCTGAACCGATTTTATGTGTTGTAGGGTTGTTAACTGATATAATGATTGGTATTATGTCTGTTGCATTCACTTATTTTTGGTATTCGAGTTGAAGGAGAGAGTGACGCTGCTATATTGATTTCCGAGGCTACTGCTGCGGCTGGGATGGGGTTGGTTGAGCTTAGGAGGATTGAAGCTTCCAGGGAAGTTGCTGGAACGCTTGCGAAATCGCCTAATGTTACTTATCTTCCTGGTGGAAACAACATGATGATGGCTCTTAATCCTGCTGGTTGATTATCACGGTAATCATCTTTTCCTCACTTTTCAAATTTTTATTTATTTATTTATTGAGTTTGGTTTATTGGCTAAAGTAAGGCTAGAAGATGGTTTATTTCTGTCAAATACTTCAATAGTCAGTTAGTTTTCCTGGATGGAAATTTCTATCTTACCTGCATGGTTAATGTTCCTGGATTATTATCCTCTTCCCCATGGATAAGCAAGATAGGCTTCTTAATTTTATTAGCGGACATGAAGGGACTCATCTCGACATAGGTATTAGTGGCCTCCCAAAGAGTTCTATCTTCATTCTACAGAAGAAAGTATTGTATAAGATGTAAGATATTCATTTCTAAAGACAACTCATGGAAAATACTATGCAATTGGAATAATAAAAATCGAGGCATTATATAGGTAGTACCTGAAAACCAAAAGGTGTAAGCGTTCTATTGTAAGCACCAGAACGAGCAATTCCACAACAAAAGAGATGAGGGGCGTGTGCTAGGAGGTTGGCAGTCATGAATGCACCATAGGAATGTCCACCAACAACTATTTTCTTTGGATGAGCTACCTAGAGGGGATAACCGAAAAATGCTTGATTCAAACGATATTTATATTGGATTGATAACTTAATCTACTACACAAGTAAAAACAAAAGCTTACCCCACGCCGGATAACTTCTTCCACAGCAGCCTCTGCACTTGCAACTAATTGCCCTACATAGCAGTAAGCTGAACCCCATCTTTTCTTTGATACCTGATCATCTCTTTCTGCAATGATGCAAGCTGAGGGAAATTTGTAACCTTAACTCTTTTTGCATTTGGCCAGCTAACAAAGTAATACTGGGTGTTCTCTGTTTTTGACTCTTTTGAAATCAGTATTTTCAGCTTATCTAACTGTAAATCCCCTTCTCCTTGATCCGACATTAGAAAAGTATCTAATTGTGCCCAAATATGTTGTTGGATAAATGTGAATCAATAATTTGTATTCATACCCATAGCGGAGATCAAGCTTGTGTAATATCGAGATTGAAGGTAAAATTTTCATTCAACCTCTTCTTTTTCTTCCCTTTGCTTATCTACACAATGTCTGCATAAAAACAAACTGATTTCTAGTGAATCAACAACTAATGCTGTTTTAACAACTGAATCCATCAGCACTTATTGGTTTCTTGGTTCTTTAATACTAATCTAGCTCTAATTGCTTCTTCAACATTTAACCACAGGAACAAGTTGCTTATAATCACTACCATAATTCTAGGTAATTATTCATTCTCCTTACTTTTAAAATTTCTATTTCTAGCTTCAAATTATTTATGTTCAAAGATGTACTATATTGAGAGTTGATTGGTTCTTAGATGAAAATTACTTTTTTGTTTTATTTTACTATCTAGAATATTCCAAAATAACCTTGTCTTTCTCTAGTAGACTTTTCTCTTTCATTATACTCAGAGATTCACAAATCTGTTATGTAGTTGTAGGATACTACTCCTTTTAATGAGAACTACTAGTGGTGAAATAGTGGAGACTCTACCAAGATCCTTTCAGGTATATACATATAAATGAATAGCATTTGATTTCACTATTATGTTTATCAAAGGTGTTAGAACTTAGAACTAAGGATTCTATTAACAGGTACATAGTAAAATATGCATGGAATTGATGAGAATATTGGATGATATCATGAGGATATTTCCAGATATAGAGGATGCAAGACCAAAATGTTCATCAGGAATAGAATCTCTGGTTTATCTGAACAACTCAATTCAGAAAGCTAAACTACTTCTACAACATTGCTCTGAATGTAGCAAACTCTACCTGGTGTGTTTTCTTCTTCTCTAAAGCATATCTCAATAATAATTTTGTATAACTTTCTTAACAAGTAAGCTAAATATGACCACTACTTTCAGGCAGTGACAGGAGATACAGTACTTTTAAGATGCCAAAAAGCAAAAAAGTCATTAGAACAAAGCTTAATTCCCATTCAGAGTATGGTTCCAGTTGTGTTGGCTGTTGAGGTTAGTCAATTTTTTCTTCAAACGTTGTCTAATCTGACTTTTTATAAGTCAGTGATTATTCATAAAAACTAATGACTTATTGTAGTGGAAAAAATTCTATAAACAAGTTAATCCAAACTGAGTTTTATCTTTCCTGAAATGTGACTTGCAGGTTTCTAGAATAGTTGATGATCTTGAGCGTGCTACATTTGTTCTGGACTCTGCTGAAGAAGAGGCTGGGAAAGTTTTAACAGAATTGCTTCAGCAAGGTACTTCGAACTTGGTTTCAGCGGAAGATTTTGAACTTAAAGCTCTTGAGTTTGCAGCACCGAGGCTGAATATAACATCACAAAAGGCCTTATTAATCGAGGGACGGTCTATTAAAAAGTTGCTAGATAAAATAGGACCAAATGACTAGAAAAAGAAATCGGTAGTTAATCGACCTGGTTTTCTTTGTAGACTTATAGTGTAAAGTTATTGATTCTTTCTTGTCACTAATTTATAATTTTATGTTGATGTTTGCAGTTGGTATCTTTGGATCTTTGTGGTCATATTTTTGTTGCTTAATATCCATGGTACGCTACAAGACTTGGCACTTTTGTTCTGTTTCTCAGTAGTTCTGCTGCATGCTAACCATATTTTCTACCTTAAGTATAATGGTTATTATTACCTGTAACAATGCTTTAAAAACTGCATTGAAACCCGTTCAGTTCAACCAGTTGAATCAAGAACTACCAGTTTGATGTGTAGTTTAATCTTGGTTATACCACAGTCTCGTTGAATTAACAATTATGTCATTGTCCAATCGAAACTAAGATTTATTTTTATTGTTTCAGGTTGGCATGCATATTTCTGGATTGCATTCATTCCTATTATTGTAAGTATCTTTATAATTTTTATTTTCTTTTGGCTCTTTTCTCCATTCAAGTAAAGTTGATATATTTATTTTCCAATTTCTGTAGGACCATGATCCTTCCTAGAAGTTAGAAGTTTGTTTAAACTTGCCCTAAGATATTGCTTATGTTTTGTGTGAATCTTGCAGGCTGCTAGGTATGCGTAGCTTGGACCAAATGGTAGTCAAGGAAGGATCATGGTCCTAGCATGGAAGTTTAACACAAAATCACTTAACACTAAGGACTTTCATGAATTTTGTAGAATATTGTAACATTTTTTGTATTTCTCTCAAGTTGTAGCAAACCAATGTAAATATTAAAATGAAATTTGGCCTTTGATGATATTTGAATTTTTTCTTGTTTATTGGTAAAATTTGCACTTCTTTTTACCTTTGATCACATTTTTTTTGATATTATTGATGATTATTTGATATTAAATGTTTTTATTGTAATTAACTTTATTATGTTGAAAAGTGATAGAAAATAAAATAAAAATACTATAAATAAAAAAATATTAAAGTAAATAATAATTTAAATATAATAGTAAAATATTATAGTAAAATAATATTATATTTAAAATTATTTTACTAAATAATAATTTAAATAAAAATATTATTTGAAATTTATAAATCAGATTACGACGGTTAAAACCGCCGCAATTTCTAACCTACGGCGGTAGAGTAACCGTCGCAAACAACAACAAAAACAAAAAATAAAGTCAAATTCACGACGGTATATAACCGTCGCTATCTGTTGTGCGTGACAGTTTTGCAACCGTCGCGAAATAGGCTGGGGACGCACGATTCTGCGACGGTACTTCTACCGTCGTAGATTGTAAATTGCGACGGTTTTAACCGTCGTAATCAGCCAAAATAACCGTCCCAATCTATCATTTTTCTTGTAGTGAGATTGGGACACTAGTAAAGGGCTTCTGATCACACTCCCCTAGAATACACCAAAGACGTGACTCTTTGAGCCCGTCCTCGTGACAACGAGAGACCCGTTCACGATCTCCCCCGTTGAGGCACCAACGGGAAGAATCACGAAGCTCCTCTCCTCGCCGTAACGGGCGCAGTCCTCACCTATAGAGACCCCAACCAGAACTTGTCAAAAAGTGCGATCGCACACCACCGTGCAAGGAGCGTAGATCTCCTTCCCCTAAGAGAAACAAGGGCAAAGATCAGTCGGAGAAGACGAGGAGCCAGACAAGAACGCCCCCACGCCATAGAGGCCCTCATTTCAATTTTTCTCTGTCTCGTTCTCCAGACTGCATTAATGAAGATGATACCATCCTTCTACTCTCCCAAGCAATCATAGAGGTCCCTATTCCATAGAGGATTGAAACACTTCTGTCCTTGGAAAACTATGATGGAGCCACGGACCCTGACGATCACCTCGAGAGCTTCAAGGTGATGCTCCACTACCACAATGTCGGGGTGGCATCAAGTGTAGGTTATTCCCCACGACTCTGATGAAAAGTGCAATGGCATGGTACAAAATCCTTGCCTCAGAGTCTGTCACCTCGTGGAAAGGTCTGGAGAATGACTTTATCAGAAACTTCACCGCCTCCCGACGACACTCCAAAATGGAGGCGTCCCTCGAGGCAATTATTCAGAGGAATGATGAATCCCTCTGTGCATACATTAAACGGTTCAATCGCGAGGACATCCAGGTCCCTACGACTGACCCCATGAAGAGGTATCTCCTTGAGAAGGGGATGCACCACAAAGACTTCAGAATGGCAGTGGGGATAGAAACTCCCAAGAGTTCGGCTATCTCCTCTACAAGGCCCGGGAGTACATAACCTATTAGGAGAAAGAATCTGCCAACAACACTCGCGATCCAAGGAATCGTAAAGGGACCAAAGCCTCAAATTACTAGGACGATAAGCCATCTCGACGATCCAAGGATAAGAAAAAATATGAAATATCTTGTGACTGTTGTACCCCAAAATTTTCTCTCTCATTTTCACACAAAACATACTCCTAGAGGTCCTCAATTGCTCAAGTTGACTAAGGATTGACCAGACAAATCCTCCTCCTAAGACAATGAGCCTCAAATTAGGGTTTCACTCCTCGTCAAGATGTTTGAATACCAAGGGTCCTAAATGGTTTCTATTGCCCTAATAT